CGATAGCCACAGGGATTCTCGACAAATTTGCCCACCACACAAAGCAACGAACGTTTAATGGGACTGTTTTGGGCCATAAAACAACATGACCTTTATAATGTATAAGTTTTGAGTCAATAATTCTCCTCATTGTGTTAACAGTGAAACAACCATCCAGGTTCGGTATGAATCGAAAACCAAAGGATGATTGAGAAGGCACCTCCATCGATCCAATGGTTGTGTAAAGTTGTAATAATTCATTTAGTGAAGTGGTATCATTTGGTTCCTGCTTCCACTTCCAGGTGAAGCCAGAAGCGAAGAGACGGTCCTCTAAATTGCAACATTTGACCATTTCCATGTTATATAAAGTTGGGAAGCGGACCTGAAAAGGAAGGTTTCCACACCACGTATCTTTCCAAAATAGGATTTTCATCCCACATCCAGGAACGAGCTTAAACATCTTAATCCTATCCAGGTTCATCTCGTCAATGGAACAAATTGCCTTATAGATGTTACACCATACATCATTGAATGTTTTCTTTGCAATGTATGAGGCAGGTTTTTTCTTTAAGTTATGGATACTTACAATTGCTTCTCTCCATAGACAATCACCCTCATTTAATAGTCTCCGCCACCATTTGGTAAGTAGAGATATATTTTGAGCTTTTAAAGTTCCAACTCCTAAGCCTCCATCCTTTTTTGCTGCTACTACTTTAGACCAGTCCACCCAATGTATCTTTGACACACCCCATAGAAATTTACGTCTTATCTTTTCTAGGAGATCGATAATTTCCTGTGGTGCTTTAAATAATGACATATAATAAGTTGGAAGACTATTTAGCACATACTTTATCAGAGTGAGACGTCCACGCAAATGAGAGTGATTTGGCTTTCCAGATTGATAACTTAGCTCGAAACTTATCTATGATGGGCTGCCAATTTTTCTTTAGTGACATATTTGCCCCGACTGGACGCCCAAATATGTCAACGGAAATGACCCTTCCATGCAGCCTAATATCCACGCCATACGTTGAGTCTCCTGTGTAGATATGCCAATGCCAAATAATTTGGACTTGAAAAAGTTCACTTTAAGACCCGATGAAATATGAAAACATCTACTTTCACTGCACTACTCGCCAACAAAGATAGCGTCATCCGCATAGAAGAGGTGAGAGATCAAAGGCCCTTCATTTGGTAGCTTAATACCCCAAATTAACGAATTAGAACATGCACTTTTAATCGCCACACATAATCCTTCCATCACTAAAATAAAAAGGAAAGGAGATAGCGGATCTCCTTACCGAATGCCTCTAGAGGTGGGGAATTCATCTGTTAGTGAACCATTAACCAACACTGATGTCATCGATGAAGCTAGACAACCATGGATCCATTTTCGCCACATGACTCCAAAGTTCATTTGCTCCATAACTGAGTCAAGGTAATTCCAGTTAATAGAGTCGAACGCCTTTTCAAAATCTATTTTGAGCAGAAATATTCTCTTCTTAAGTTGCTTGGCCCATGAAAAAATTTCATTGATTACTAGAGGTCCATCTAGTATATTTCGTCCTGGAATAAACGCGGATTGGACTTCGCTGACTACAGAACCTATCACTGATTTTAATCTCGAGGAAAGAGCCTTGGCTACGATCTTATACATGCATCCGATAAGATTGATGGGCTTGTAATCTGAAAGAGAGAGAGGGTCAGCCACCTTGGGTATCAACGTGATGAAAGACGAGTTGCATCCCTTTGCCATAGAGGGATGTTGTTCGAAATATTTGACAAAGTTGAAAATATCACCACTCATTAAATCCCAATTGGCTTTGATAAGCTTAAAAGTTAACCCATCAGGACCTGGCGCTTTCTCGCCACCACAACACCAAACCGCATTTTTGATTTCATTACAAGATATAGGAAGTTCCAATGAATATTGTTGCTCCATGTTTAACTTCTTGAAGAGCGGATTGATCAGTAACGAACGTATGGGCCATCTCTCCTTGAATTTTCCTGCAAAGAATTGGAAAACTTCATGTCTGATTAACTTTGGATCAGTTGTCCAAGAACCGTTTGCAATCAGCCCATGGATCTTATTTTTCCTGTTATTATTCTTTAATGTGCCATGGAAAAACCTGGAATTTTCATCAACATCAGTAAGCCATTTAATTTTCGCCTTCTGTTGGAGATCAAGTTTGGCAATATGTTCCAACTCCAACATTTTGACTTTATCTTCCCGCCATAGGTTTCTTTCAGAATCAGAGAGCATTCTAGATTCAGCTATTCTTTCTATCTCAATTACCTTGTTCCTTAGAATGGATAACGAGCCAACTTCTTTTTTGGAGTCTTCATTCTTCCACTTAAGAAATTTGTCTTTCACATATTTTAATTTGGCCTTTAGAAAGTTATCTGGGGTACCAAATCCACAGAAGTTAGACCATGCCTCAGTGAATTCCTTATTAAAATCTTCTTTGAGCAGCCATGAATTAAAAAATCGGAATGGTGAAGGGCCGAAGTCAATGAAAGAAGGTTTTAGAATGATCAGAATGTACTCTTGGTAGAGCAATGACCATGGTTGTTGGCTGTACCCCGATGAAATTTGGGCACACAAGAAATCGGTCAATTTTGCTTAGTTTGTTCCCTTCCTCCCGAAAGTAAGTATATTTCATCCCTCCCATTTTGAGTTCTTTCAACCCAGCCTCAACTATGAATCGATTGAAGTCCTCTGCAGTATATTTACAAAAAGACGGGTTGAACCTTTTGTCACTCCTGCGCACGACGTTAAAATCCCCAAGGAAGACCCAAATCCCATCTACACTATTTTTGAGATTCAACAGTTCATTCCATAATACTCGCTTATCAGCAATTGATTGAGGTCCGTAAACATTTACAAGAGTGGTGGTGCCTGGGAATCCATTCCAGTGTCCCGATATGGCTAGGAAGTACCTGGAAGATATAGTATTAGTTTTCACGAAAACATTTGAGTCCCAAACACTGAGCAATCCTCCAGATTTCCCCTGGGGCTTTACAGTTTCGAATTCAAAACCTGTACTTCCCCAACAACCTGCAACATCATTGCTAGCTATCTCAGATATGTGTGTTTCTTGTACTCCAATGAAGTCAATTTTATTCTAATCTTGAGATCATTTATCCACTCTACTTTGCGAGCCTCACTCAATCCCCTTATATTAATGCTTAGAACATTCATTTGGGAATATGTGTGTCACCTTTACCACTAATGTCCACTTCCAGCACATCTTCCAGAATATCTTTATTATTTTCCCCAATTTAGAACCCTACGTTGTTTCCAAATTTAAGGAGGCCTGAAATTTCATTCGAGGAAGAAGAGTAAGATTCCTCGGAGACTCCATTGCAACTTTTGGTCGATAACGCAAAATTTCTTTTACTTAGAAATCTTGCATATTTGATAACCCTACTTTTTAAGTGATTACTAATAGGCCTTTCACTTGGAAACCTTGCATATTTATTAGGGTCCCAACTACAAACAACAAAACGGGTTGAAATCCTTTTTATTGTAATAACATTAGGAAATTTAAAAGGCTTGAGTTTGAATGAGACACAAAAGAGAAGGTAATAATTACGACAACATTATGATTAGATATACCGTAATAGAGGAAAGCAACATATGCAAAAGGGTAAGAATTGTAATATTATTTTTTCTCACGAAACAAAACAACCTAAATTTTGATACAAAAAAGAACATAATTTACAAAAAAAATAAAAAATAAAAAAAATACTCAGTCAACCGAAACCAAGATTGGTCTGTGATTGTTTTATTTTATCTATCAAATTATAAATATATTAATTTATAACCTGTGGAAACCACAGTTACAAAATTAATTAAAATTTCATAGTAAAAACTCAAAATTATTAATCAATTATTTTAAATTAATTATTAATTAAGATATATTTTTTAATTATATAAATTTATAATCGTTCATTTAAATAAATACGTGAAATTATATCAACTTATAATCTGTATTAATTTTATTTTAATTTTTATTTTAATGTTATTAATTTAATATTATTACAATAGAAAATTTAAAATTTAAAATAGAGAATCAATAGTTTTAAAAGTGACATACATTAATTAAAAGATTTAATAGGATGACTGGTAAAAAAAAATAACTTTTATTAGAATAAAACGATATAATTAACGAGACACCTTATGAATATGAACTTTTATTGCTCTCAACTTTAGCATAAATTTGTTTTTTATTGTTTTTAGTTATTGATCCCAAGACTTCAATATTTTTAGTTGTAGCTCCATTGTTATAGTAAATTTTCATATTTTTCAAATTTGATCCTAAAAAACTTTCATTGTTTTAATTTAAGCCCCAAAACTTTCACTATTTTCAGTTTTGTCCCTATCAATTTTCTTTTCCAGTTTTGATCAAAAAAATTACATTTTATAACAATTTTGGTCCTATAACCTTTCAACGCTTACAATTTTAAGCCCAAACCTTTTCATTCTTTAGCCCTATTTTTTCAGTTTTAGCAAAAAAAAAAATTTATTAACAGTTTTGATCCAAAAGCTTAGAATTTCCTCATCTTTTGGGACCCATTTTTATTTTAACAAAATATACTATTTATAATTTCAATATAAATAAATTATTTATACATCTCAATAATTTACATTTTCGTTAATCTACATCAAAAATCAACTCAACCAGATATTTGCTTAAAAAATATCAGTCTTTAGATTCAGTTATATTATTCTTCAAAAAAAAACATATAGAATTTATTTTATTTAAAAAATTAGCTGTTAAAAAAAAGGAAATTAAATATTCTTTTACTTTTTCTTCTTATTTTATCTTCCTACCATGTAAAATGATGAAATATGTCATATTTTAATAACATTATCATTAATATTTGTCATCAAATATCATTTGATAAGAGGATAAGTAGGAAAAAAAATAAAAATATATTTAATTTCTAAAAAAAATGATAATTTTTTTTTTCTAATAAAAGATTGACTTTGTTTGAAGTGTTATAAACATACTCATATACATCAACTACTTCCATGGTGTTCGGAAGCGATTCATGGTTTTCATCGAATCTTTATCAATCTGTTCAACGCTTTTGGTCTGCTCAAGTCGCAAAATTGTACTCCAAGGAACCAGAAAATTGATCTTGTTGCAATTAGATCCGATCAAAAGCAGAGAGTTTTTGGAGGAAATTGGGGTTCCGGAACAAAAGTTGTTCTCCAATTGAAAAGGGGAAGACTCAAAACCCCTTCAGAATGGGGGTTTCATCTTTCGTCGGAGTCGCCATTACCATCGCTTTGATATCTCTCCTCTTCGCTTTTTATCCACTCACCAATAGTCCTCCTGCATCGCCATCACCCCCAGTATGTATATTATGCCCTTTTTATTCTCTTTTCTCGTTCAGATCCCGCTTCCTACTTTCCAGATGCTGTGTATATCAAGATACCCTTGCGTATTTCTTGAGAAATTTGAAATAACTTTTAGTGTCTGTCAGTCGTATGTTTTTCTGACAAAATTATAAGTTAAGATTATCTATTTCACCATTGTTATTTATTGATTCAGATTATTGGTGGTATTGAGATTTTATTCATAAGAATATGATACATTGTGGTTATAAAACGTCTCCATGTGTATTCAGTTTTCTTGAGCAACATTAAACTGGATCAGAATTTTTATGATGAATTTTTTTGGTGATGAAGTAGTTGCATAATCTTTATCAATTACTTAATAGGGGTTGATTGCAAAACGTTTGAATGTATCACTTACCATGGTATTGATTTATTATTATTATTATTATTTTTTTAATGCAGAGATTGTTTACAGTAGAAGATCTTGCTATATACAATGGAACTGATAAAGGCCTACCCATCTTTCTTGGAATTCTTGGGTACTCTCTTTTTCACTCTTTCTTTCTGTTTGACCGATGATTTGTTTTAAGTTCATGATGTTAGACACCTTCATCTGAAAGAAAAATTAAGTTTATATGGTGAAAACTATATAACTGATTTGAATTGTTTAAATGTAAGCTAAAACATTGATAATTGCATGCAACTAGTGCTAATTTTGTCTTTATATCATTTTGTATTGTGAAAGCACGGGTTTTAATTTGTTATTTTTCATTTTTTTCTTTTATGTGTGGATTATCAGGTCGGTGTTTGATGTAACAAAAGGAAAATCTCATTATGGGAAAGGAGGTGGCTACAGTCACTTTGCTGGAAGGTTTTGTCTTTTTCCCTCTATAATTTTCAAATGAATGTATAAAAATGCTCTTTCAAATCTCTTAACTTTTTTTTTTTTTTTAAATGTTTCATAGTTCATGAATCAACACTATAGTCTAATAAGATTCTTTTTGAAAGTATACTGATATCATTGTGTAGATACTAATGATCGTTCCTTATATTTTTTTGATTCCAGAGATGCTTCCAGGGCATTTGTTTCCGGAAACTTCACAGGTCCATTTGTCAATCCTTATCAAACACTCCTTTTTTATAAATAAATTCATTTGCAATTCGTGAACTTTTAGAAAAAAATTACTTTGGTATAATTCAAATCAAAAGCTCCTTAAGAAATTATCATGGTCAACTTACATATATTAACTTTGATTTTTGTCATTTAATATATAACAGGAGACGGGCTAACCGACACTTTAGTTGGTCTATCTAGCACTGAGGTAATTAATGTTTGCTTCTTTAAAAAATACCTAGATTTTTGTCATTATAACTCTTTATTAGTTCTTGCCCTAAAATAATATTCATATTTGGTTGCTAGTATAAAGTTTAACATTCTATCTTCATTATATAGGTGAAGAGTGTGGTTGAATGGAGAGACTTTTACTCCAGGACATACATGTAAGTTTATGTTGGTTTCCGTATAAAATAATTTTGTAGCAAGAAAATATTATCATTTTTTTTAGGTTCCTTGAATAACTTTGATTGGTTGTATCAGATTTGTAGGGAAGTTAGTAGGTCGCTATTATGATAGTGAAGGGAACCCCACAAAATATCTAAAAGGAGTGGAAGCAAAGGCAGCAAGAGGTGCACAACTAATGGAGAAGCAAAAGAAGGAAGAAGAAAAAGTTCCTGGCTGCAATTCCAAGTGGAGCCAGGATGAGGGTTCCGAGGTACGTTTGTCTGTGTCTGTGTCTGTGTCTGTCTGTATAAATGATATTTGAAAAAAATAATAAGAAAATGATGATGATTATGTTTTTATGTTTTGTATGGCAGGTTTGGTGTGACCATGGATACCCGAGGCTAGTTCAACGACCATTAGAAATAGCATTGACGGGTAAAATGAGCAAACGTTGTGCATGCTTTAATGAAACAGATTTAGATCAACCGGGGTTAGAAGTTTACCAAGGATGTGGTTATTTATCTAAAGTTTGTAGGCTATGATTGCCATGAAACAAGGTTGTGTTATTTATCTATTGTATTAGATGTTTATTTTCATTATAGGTAAAGTTTTTTCTTAGAAAGCTTAAAGCGTAAAGTTTGACCCAAAATTTCAGAGCCCTCTATAAGAACCAAGAACATTTTACAATGTTCTAAAGTCTTCTCAAAAGAATTCCATATAAATATCTATAATAGGAGTTTTGTAGAATATTTCATTAATTTTATTGTCTTTGGAGAAATCTCAAGTATAAAATGATCTCTCCATTTCATTTGTTTTCATTTCTTCACTTGTGTGGGTTTTCAATGGTTACCCTCATATCACACCATTAGGACCCTTGTTTATCTTCTTTACCTTGTGTATGCTGTTATTCTTCAATTACCAAAGGGTAACAGAGATCAACATGTCACACACTCACATTATTATTCAGGGTTGGTCTTAACATATTTAAGGTTTTGGACAACAACAAAAAGTAGCCCATTGAAATTAAAATTTGAAGTAAGTTAAAGAAAAAAACTGTCGTCAAGATTTAAAATCGGGTTTCTTAATAAACTCAAAAATTCTATATATCTCATTGATGGGACTTGAACACAACGACCTTTACATAAAAAGCATGCATCACAACCAACTAATGCCTTATAGAATCATAACATTCTAAGAATCAAACCTTGGAATGCGTCTTAACCACATATGGGTAATGGGACACAAGTACTTTTATATGAGAAATAACATTTTGCGTATAAAGATTATAGGAAATAACTTGTTATAAATGAGATTTTTTAATCAAAAGAAGCATAACATTATTAATAATCAAACATTTAGTCTATTACTAATAATCAAATCTCATACATCTTTTTTTTTTAATTTTATTTATTTATTTATTTTTAATACCATCAGCCTTATTGTATGTTTCAAAAAGTTCATTCCAAATATCTTTAGCATTTTCAAAATAAACATGTCCATATATTGACTCAGAAATAGACCTAAGAATCCAAGAACACACTACTACATTAGCATGTTCCCACTTTAAAACTTTTGCTTGTTCAACTGTTTCCTTGTTTCCTTTTTAAGAATACCATCAACAAATTCTAGTTTATTAGGAGCCCTAAGACCTCTATACCATCAACAAATCATAGTTTATTAGGAGCCCTAAGACCAGGGGCGGAACACAAGCTATAGAAGAGGAGGGGCCGAATCTTAATAGGAGAGTAATAGAAAATTATATATATATATATATATATATATATATATATATATATTCATTTGTTTAAACTAAGTATTGTGTTATCGTATGCATAAATGTGGGCCAATCAAAATTAAATAAAAAATTAAATAAATAAATAAATAAATAAGGATAATTTAGTAATTTGTTTAATAACTTCCAACAATAATTCCTATAATCATAGTATTGACTTTTATTAAATCTCGTTCCCCACTTTATATAAAAACCGATTTCTGAAAACCCTAAATTGATCCCCTCATTAAACCGTTCCAGTTCTCCAAAGGATGAGCCACTGTTCATCGCAGCTATAGACCGAGGGAAGAGGCATCTCCGGTGGCGAGGTGCGATTCGGTTCGGCGATCCCGGACCGAATCCTGATGAGGCAGATACGACGTTTTCTTTCAACATCCCCACCGGCAGGTTTTCTTTCAGGTATGCACATAATCATCTCCATCGCGATCCCAGAATCTTCGGATGCATCTCAGGTTTATACATATCTATCTTTCTAACTTTATTCAAATCTAAATTTTACGTTGCTGAAAATCGAAAATAAATGAAATGTCAGGTGAGATGCAGCAAGCGATGCGTGGCAGAAAACTGTAACTGTAATGCTCTATCTGATTTTTTTCCCCAACATTTTTAGAAGTTATTAGATGTAATTGATTTGGTTTGAGGTTTGTTGATTGACATTGCGATCAGCGATTGGGATTAGATACGGGAAGTACTGTGGCGTTGGATGGACTGGATGTCCAGGTGAAAGGCTGTGCGATGATCTTGATGCGTGTTGTCAGATTCATGATGAATGCGTCGAGAAAAGAGGTATTGTTTGAGAATTCGATAGAATTTATTGCCTGTTTGGTGTGCACTTTTATCCTCTAATCTCTTCTATCTCTACCATTCTTTGATAATTTAAGTTTTGATGATGATTTGGTGATATAAATATGATAGTTTGAAGTGAGCTTTGAGCCCTAACAAATATAGTTGACATGAGTGAGTAATCTGTGTATGGTAGGAATGACGAATGTGAAATGTCACGAGAAATTCAAGCGGTGCATAAAGAAAGTTCAAAAATCGGGAATGGCTGGGTTTTCTAGAGATTGCCCTGTTGACATTGCAGTGCCTACAATGCAACAGGGTATGGACATGGATATTTTATTTAGTCAGTTTGGTAACTCTAAGCTTGAACTCTAATTCACTAAGTGTAATTGCTTTGCTGCTTAAGATTAGACTTCAAATTTATATATAATTCATACAAATTCTTTTTTTTTTGTAAGTTACCTCACATATTAAGATTTATATCTAACATTGACCTTCATCATTGTTAGTAGGGGAAAATGACTTGCTAAGGTAATTAACTTTTCGGTATGTTCCAATTCTATCAGAATGGAATCACGAATTCCAATTCTGTTGGAATGGAATATGGATATTTTCTCACTGATTTATGCATTGGATTTGTTTCCACAGAAGCAACTGATGCTTGAAGAATGGACCATGAAATTGAAAGTGACTCTTAGCAACATTATTATTCTTTTAGAATGTATTAGTGTCTTTGTTAGATTTTGATGTTTTTTTCCCGATTTAAAAGTTTTTTTAGTTTTATTCTTTAATAATAAATGTAATTCTTAACAATTGTTACCGGTATTCTATAAGAATTAATGTAATTTTTGTTTTTATTCTTCAATTGATGGTTCAAGAATTTGTTATTCTACAAGAAGTTCTTAAAGTCATTATCAAGAAATAGGTCCAAAAATATTTTTATTATTTATTGTTTAAGAATATTTTTATTTTTGAGTAATAATTAAATAAATAAACAAATTCTGTCAGAATGTCTGAATTAAATAAATAAACATATTCTGTCAGAATGTCCGAATTATAAGAATTATAATTCGTAAAATCGAATTTTTAAAATTAGTAGAATTATGATTCCTTAAAAAATGCAAATTTCCTTTATTAAATCTATATTAATTGACTAAAATACCCTTGCAGTTAATTAAGATGATATTTTTCAATTATATTTAAATTAATAATATATATTAATCACTTTCTTAAAATAAGTAAATTTGATTGACCCAAATTTATGCATACAATAACACAATAGATACTCTAAACAAAATAACCTAAGCCTATATATATATATATATATATATATATATATATATATATATATATATATATATATATATATAATTTTAAACCCTAATAGGAATAATACACGTAACTTTATTAATATAAATTATAAAAAGAAAGCAACTAAATTAGAAAAGAATACAATATTACACTTCAATAATGAAAATAAAAAAGCACAAATAACGTTAATACAAAATAATACTTAGAGAAAAGGTATAACAATAAACAAATGAAATCAATTGATTTCAGTTGTATGCGAGACATGATTTATTTTATCAGTATCACAAAATCCAATATAAAAAATATATAAAAAAGGTATAAAAGAGAGACAAGTCATATAGGTCATAAAGCCTTAGGTCATAGACTCACAGTAACTTTAATCTAATCACTTTAATCTAACATTGCATATAATCAAGGCACAACCAGTGACAAAAAGAAAATACATATACACAACCCAAATCTAATTCTCAAAAGCAAAAGTAATATATTACCACAAATGAAGAAGAAGAAGAATGCATACCTATCTCAGCGGCGATGGGGAGTGAGGCAAGGCGACAAGAAGGCTGAAATTGTCGAGCATCGTTGCTCTTCCACTGCTATCATCGTTTGCTCTTCCACCGCTATCATTGTTTCTCCGGTGGAAGGGATGATTCTCTCATTGTATCTCACTTGGTTTTCTTTTAATTTTTTGAAGATTATTTATTTACTTTTGGCAATGTAATCTTTTTATTTTCTGTAACTTATCTTCTCCTATTTTTCTTCCTATTTTATCTCCTTAATGGTAAGTGATTGTTGTTTACTTGTTTATGTTTGTCAACAGAAAATACATTTTAATTCTTAGATTAATAATTTTAAAATTTGATCAATCAATACGCTTATCTTCACTTCTTAACCTTTTGCAAATCAGGAGGGCCAGAACATTAGTAATTACCTAAAAATCGTGAGGGGCCAACATTATTATCATTTACCATAAACTAGGAAGGTAATTTGTATTTTTTATGGTATTAGAAAGCAAAAAAACAGGGGGGCCATGGCCCCTAAAGGGATCCACCCCTGCCTAAGACCTCTAATCATGGAACTACATCGTAAACACAACTTTTCATTTCCTGTTAGTTTCATGGTAATGATTGAAGTAATTGTTTTATCCGACAAATGAATATATAAGGGATCATCAAAATCAACTGAATTATCTTTACCACTAACACCAAGGAGTATCCGTAGGATCAATCATGACAGACAATCAGATAAGAACAAGTAAGAACATAAAATATCAACCAAAAAACACATACAACCGCTATATATAGTCCAAATGGTCACCACAAAATGTTGGGCCCAGGACAAATCAACGTAGAGTCAAGAAAAAACAACAACAATTAACCAAGCAATTACACATACAAAGTAACCGGTGTATTCAAGACAACCAAGATCTCCCACAACTATAACTAGAAAAAAGAGTAGAAAGGAACAATTAAAATCTCACATAGGTCATGTAGACACTTTTGGAGAGGCAGTATCTCTTAGTTCCGTTCACTGCTAGAGTTATTTTGGTGATGAACTCCGCTCTCTAAAAGAGTTAATCAAAACTTCTACAAAGATTAACCGATCGAAGACCAAAGCAACATATCCTCTCATATGAATCTATATGGAGAAACAACAACAAAGAACTCTCAATAAAGGAAAACTTAATAACAAAAATACATGTTAGAAACCTTAGGTCTACACAACTGGTGTACATCTAAATTAGTCAACCAGAAACCCTAGATTTGACCCGATCAGTGTCGGATACACAAGGTTAAAAGAAATACACGCGAAAGAACTAGGAAAACAATAATCTAACTTTTGCGATTATGACAGACTGTGAAGCAACGTCATTCAACCATAAACAACAATTCGAACAATCGATGCTCTAATACCATGTAAAAAACTCATAAACACACGATATGTTTTTATTTCAAATAAAAACATATTAGTCTAGGGGTAATTTTGTAATTTCCAAAAACTGATTTGGTATCAATATGTGAGAATTGGGTGGGGTTGGTTAGAATGCCAAATTATAGGGACCATTTGTGCCAAAATGAGGAAGATTATGTCTTCTTCCTCCTCATCAGTTGAAGGTCTGATTTTGGACCTTACCCACGATGCCAAAAACGAATATTGGAAAGAAATGAATTGAGAATCCACAAATGTGAGCCATTGACTAATTGTCAAGTCCCTTTCCCACTGTAGCACCACCCAAAAACCTTTTTCCCTTGTCCCGAAACCATCAGCAAACACTCCTGTTGCCGTCGGAATCTTTCCCTGTCCTTACCCGCTCGACGAAATCGCCGGGAACAAAGCAACAGGAGCCGCCGGAGCGGCTCCAGCCGCCACAGCCACCATTTCGCCGCCACCGTGCCGCCATCGATTGCCGCCCTCCCTAACTCCGATTCCAATACTCTCTCCACCGTCGCCATTTAATTTGTGTACCCACTTCGTCGATCGATCACAACGGAGACTCAAATTGCAAAAAAGGATTTTATACTTTCGTTCAAATGTAAAAGACGACTACTGTACAAACTACATTTCATTTTATTTAATTGTGATCCTGAGTTTTTCTGATACTTACGACTCTAGTCCTCATGTGTAAATTGATATCTTTTTTTTCCTTGCGTTCATGGCTGTCGACTGTCGTGAAAACTAACCAGGAGGAAACACTTTATACAAACACTTTTAAACTTCGTTTTAAAACAACCCTAAAGTTGTATTAAGTTTACAAGTTGGTCCCTCCCTCAAAACTTGTAATTAAAATCAACATCATGGCCCCTATATGGAGATTTGTCTTCATAACTATCCTATTATCAAACTAGAATTTAAAATACACACTTCAGCCACCTGCTTCGTAAATAAGTTAAGAAAGCAGTCTCTTATTGAATGATTTTAGCAAAATCAGTCCCTGTAGTTAATCAACTTACAAAACCACCCCTTCATACTTAATAATTAATACCAAAACTATCCTTTTAGTTTTATTATGTAATATAAATAGACCTGATGGTTCTTTTTAAATGTATGAAACGGTTGATTTTGTGGTTTCTTACGTCGCACTCCACCAAAACAAATCTAGTATGCATACATGCTACGAAGGTGAGTGTAACGGCCCTTTTTTATTATTTTATTATTTTTGGGGAGAATACATGTGAAAAATATGTTTACCGGTTATGAAATGTGTTTATAAACTTGCGAAATCTATATATCGGTTATAAAATACGCCTATAAAACACATATCAAGTTTTAATATTTGTTAATGCCAAAATAATATGTTATAATCTGATTTCCTTATGATACGCATGCGTTTAAAAATATTATTAGCCTTACGAATAATTTATTTTCATTTATATTGAGCATGTACAAACATATATTTTAATTATTTACGTACGAATTATAGAAATTATATATTGGAAACCTTTCGTGCATGTGAAGAAACATATAATCTATTTAAGCGAGTGACATATATTTTTACGGATTTATCGAACTTAGTCGGCTTTTATAGTGAAACTTTATCGTATAACCTAGTTAATGACCTTTATAGTGAGACAATATTTATTACCTAAGTTTAACCACTTAGTATTCCCGTTTAACTATAACCATTAATCCTCGGAGCGAGATACGTATGTATAGATCTATACAGGTCGACACCCCCACCTGTAGTTGCTAGCTACAACCTCGACTGATCAATCGAAGCGGGTGATAATTACATTTAGTATAACTACGACGTCCAATGAAGCGTTGTAAGAGATTATAACTAGTAACATAACTCGTTTATAGGATTCACTATAGGCATTAACCAGACTTTTTATCTAGAAACCATAGATTCGGTTTCTCTGTTTATCAAACATTTTATGCATGGATTTGCTTATGGTTTATCTATTTGTCAAACATTTTAAGCATGAATTTACTTATGGTTTATCTATTTATCAAACATTTTAAGTATGAATTTACTTATGGTTTATCTATTTATCAAACATTTTAAGTATGGATTTACTTATGGTTTATCTCTTTAATAAAAATTTCAATCATGGATTTGCTTA